GCGAAGATTTAAATTCGAACATCGGAAACATAATAACCCACCCCTGAGCGCATGCCCTATTTTGCTTGTCTTTGGGAGAAGAAAAAATGGCCCGTGTACTTGGCAAGCTCCCGTTGCCCGCCCGTTTCATAATCCCGTGATCACCTCTGAGTTGGGTATACGGTTCCTGCACTGCTCAGCGGTAAGATCAGGCGTCCGGCTTTGACAAGGGTGGCGCAAGCTTGTTCACATGTTGTCCTGCACGGCAGCAGTAGTGGTTTGCAACCTGGAGATATGTTGAGTGAGTGCATGCAGCCGTGTGTGGGCTAAATCGTTTTTCTCAGAGGTGGCCTGACTATTTCGCAGTCTGCTTGCGCGGCCTGTGTTTTGTTAGTCTAGTTGGGGTGGGAGGGTTCCTCCGAGATGTCAATTTTTGTTGTCAGCACGTACTCGCCGAGCAATCGCGAGCCAATGTTGGTCTACTGATGAAAAGGAAGTTCTATGATGAACATTCCTGATTCACAGGAATGCACAATGGACACACCAGACGCGCTGTTTCTGGCCTGGTCGCTTGTTTCGGCTGCCCTTGATAAATCCGACCGATCTCTACTTTAACCCCCAGTGCTTCGCCGTACCATGCAGTCCGATGACGAGGCACTCCTTTCCGAGCTGTTTGTGTGAGGGACTGTCCGCCAACCTTCCGCTCATGTTATCCCTGCTGCGGTTATGACCACACGCCTACAGATCGCCATCTCAGTTTCGCAAGCGTCTGAGCCGCGCCCGGGGAACTTCAGCGCCCATATCACGTTCGCGCACAAAGAGGACGCTCTAGCCTGCATTCTCGCCACAGACGGGTGAGTCCGCACCCTGACCAGCACTAGTTAACTTAATTCACGTTCCCGCCCGCCTCGGCGCTGTTTGCATTAGCAGCATGAGAATGCGGTATTCTTTCCCCCCCCATACGGTTTTGTGTTTTGCAGAGGTTGGAATACGCTCCAATGGGTGGCTTCGTCGTGTTTGTTGGGTGCGTTGAAAGTTTTCCGCTGGGTATTTTATCCGGGCTCGTGTCTGGTGGCTTGGGGCAGAGGGTAGTGACAATTATTGTTGTGGGCACACGTGTCTTCCACGGGTTTCTCTCTCCCTTAATTTGGCAGATTTTGTGCATGGCAGCATCGCGAGTCAGTTTTCTGCCGTCGCATCCCGTCACCGTCCTCGGCGTGTACAGCAGGCGTCCCGGCTTGTTCTCAACTGCTGTTGTTAACCAACCACTGCTCTTGTGCGCATGAAAATGCTTGTCTCACCCACTCCTCACCCACCTACCCCCGCTCTCGAAACCGGCAGGTTCTGGCTCGAAGGCCGACAGTTGCGCTCCAACTTCGGGACGACAAAGTACTGCGCGACGTACCTCCGGAATTCTCCCTGCTCGAACCCGGACTGTCTGTACCTGCACGAGCTAGGAGACGAGGAGGATCGCTTCACCAAGGAAGAGATTCAGCAGCGTTCCCTGCTAGCCCCGCCAATACCTCCCGGCGCTGTGACGGTGACGGGAGGCGGGGGACCCAGTGGGACCGGCATGCGATGCAACTCGCCGTATCTACCCCCGCCGGTGTACGAGTCTTCCTCTAATGGATCGGGCCATAGAGAGAGCGGGGCGGCGGCAAGGTCGCAGGGGCAGCAGGGGGCAGCGGCTGCCGGTGGTGCGACGGTGGCGCAGCGAGCGGCGGCGGCGAGAGGGGCTAAAGCGACCGGACAGGTAATGAAGCGTGTCATCTGATCCACAACCCGTTTGGGTACCGCTATGTGTCAAGTGATTGTTCAGTACGGGACCTTTATCGCGTCAGAGCGGTGGGTCATATCTCACGCGTGTCAGACGAGGCGGTTTTCAGAGCAGTATTTCCGGAACGTCAAGTACGAAACTATCCGGTAGGTCGTAGTCAAGGACGTACCACGCACTTGATGTACAGGGATGTGGATGCACGATGTTCTCAGTATCGAGTCTCGGCCGCCCGGTTCTCGGTTACAGCGTACGACACGGGGAGCTGAGTGCATCCGCTCGCACGTCCCCGGGCGTTCGTTCTTGTATGCACACAATCTTACATTTCATTGGCGAGTTTCCCTCTACCAAGGTGCTAGCGATTCATCCCTTTTCTGTACGCCCCATTCAATCTTGTTCGGAACCGTTCACTTTGCAGGCTGCTGCAGTGCCAACGGCGTTGAAGACCTCGGGCTCCACTGGGGTGGCCTGGGGCGGGGCAGGGGCAACAAATGGGCCAATTGCTCAATCGTTGGGGGAGCGAAGCGGGGTGGCGGTGGTTACCCGGGGGAAGGGGCCCATGGGCGTGGCCAGCCCCACCGCGTCCCCTCACCTCCAAGCGCACAACCCCGCACGCCTGCAGGAAGAGTGGCCTTCACTTGCAGACACGGCCGCGCCGGCGCCGGCCCCAACGCCGACACCCGCCCCCACGACTACGAATCGCACCAGTAGGAACCGCCGCAAGAAGGAGAAGCAGCAGCAGCAACAACTGCAACAACAGCAGCAACAACTGCAACAGCAACAACAGCAACAGCAAAAGCAGCAGCAGCAGTTGCCAAAAGAAAGTGGGGGGACCGCTTCTGCTGCTGCACCTCCGAGTTCGCCACCTCAGGAACCAGCGGCGTTGGCTCCAGCTGCTACTGCTGCTGCTACTGCTGCTGCTACTGCTGCTCCTGCTGCCGCTGTGCCCTCTTTGCCTGCTCCGAGAATGCCTCCCGTAGTGTCACAGCCGCCAGGCCTCGGACCGGTAGCTGGGGTTCCTGCTTTGCCACAGACCTCTGCTGCTCCGGCAGGCGTTGCGTCAAGCCCAGGCGATGCAGCGGCAGCGGCGGCGGGTGGTCCACCTCTGGGAGAAGATGGAGTAACCGGAAACACGTCGGCTGGTTCCCAGGATACATCGTCCTCGATGTTTTTTAACCCGTTTTTCAGCAACGGAGGGCGCGGTGCCGCCGGCGGTGCCGGCGGTGCCGGCGGTGCAGACATGCCTTCGGTCGTCTCGGCGCCGCCCCCGCCAGGGTTCAGCGAGCCCCCGCCCGCCGCTGCCGCCGCTGCCGCCGCTGCAGCGCCGAGCGGTCCTCCAACGATATCTTCGTCCTCTCCGTCAACAGTTGCGTCATCTTCGCCTCTGCAAGAGACACAACCGGCGCAGCCGGCGAGGTCGTTGTTCGAAGAGCATTTTGGCGGCGGCGGTGGTGGTGGCGGCGGCGGCGGCGGCGGCTGTGGCGACAGCGTGTTCAACGGCGGAATGTTCTCCTCGGCAGCGATCGGGGGGGGGCTTTTTGCCGGTGAGGCTGGGACTGGGTCCGCTGCATCCGCTGCTGGCACCGCACGCGCCGCTGGCTCACCGCCCCCCGGCTTGCCCTCTGCGCCTGGGGTGACAGACGTTCCTCGCGTATCGCAACAGCCCGAGCGATCATCGCCCGCAGGAAGGGAACCGCAGGACTCTCCTGTCGAGCAGCCACAGCCAGACATCAAGGCGTCCATATCTGAGCTGCTCCACGGTCCGACGAAAGGATTGGGCAAGGGCGCCGCCGCCGATTGCGAAAGCGACCTGTCCTTCGCCTCTGTCGGTGGTGGAACAGAACCTACGGGCTATGGGCTGGACGGGACCACGGCGACATCGGCGCACGTGGCTGCGTCTCCGTTTGGAGCGGTGTCTGGCGGGGGACACTTCGGTGGTGCGTTCGGCAGCGCGTTGTTTCCAGTGTCAACGCACCAGGGGGGCGCCGCACGTGGCCACGGGGGGCTCGGGGGCACGGACGGTCCGGGGGCGGATCTTTCCGTGGACCCGTTCGCCAACTCGTCGGGGGCGCTTGCGCGCATGCTGGGGGTGACGTTGCCCCCCGTAGACTCTCACAGCTCCTTAGCGCGCAAGATGAGATCGGGTGTCGGCGTTTCGCCCGTTGGTGGGGCCATGCAACAGGACACGTCGCCGTCGCGTTTGCACGTGCCGCCCCGTGGCGGCGGTGCCTACGCAGATTTTTCCAGGGATATGGACCGCGGTCGGCCGGGGGGGCATGGTGGGCCAGGGAAAGCGGGGGCTCGGGACGCCTCCGGCGTGGAAAGGAGCTGTGGAGCACGGCACGAGTACGGGGATAACCAGAAGGGTGGCGGTGCGCTCCAGGACAACCACCAGGCATCGCGCTTTTCGTTTGCCCAGGACGATAACCCGGGCATGCCGTTCTCGCCCGCGAGGGGGTCACCGCAGATGGGGCCTGATCCGCGTGGGTCTCCCGGAGGGATGGGGAGCCCTTCTCACCCAGGGCAGCACCACCACCTACACCACCAGCACCACCACCAGTCACACGCGCATCGGCCATTCGGCGCAGCGGGACAAGGAGCGGGGCAATCGGTGACTCCGCCGCAACTAGGCGAATTTGGTGGTGGAGTCGAAGGGCATTTCGCGCCGCCGCCCCCGCCGCATCATCACCATCCCCACCACAGCCAGCACCACTTCCAGCAGCAGCAGCAGCAGCAGCAGCAGCGACAGCCTCCGCCGCCGCCACAGCAGCAGCAGCAGCAGCAGCGACAACAACCGCAGTACTCTATTCAGAACGGGATGGCATTCCTGCAAAAGGTACTGCCGGGGGTATCGCTGTCCTACGGCGATGCCAACCGCCAACAACCGCCGGCTGGGGCCGGCGGTGGTGGCCAGGGGCAAGGGCAACCACAAGGGCAACCACAAGGGCAACCGCAGGGGCAGGGTGGTGCCTCCTCGGCGGGCGTGCCGACCACGAGCGGTGGCGTGGGGTGGGGAGACACAACGACACAACGCGTAGACCCGGCACAAGCATTCGGTTCTTCGATGTGGACTATGGCGCCAGCCCCGAACGCTCCCCGCCAGCCCCAGGGCAGCCGGGGCGGGGGGTATGGTGCGTGGTAAAGAGTGGCGGCTTGGTTGGGTGCGGCGGCTCTGCAGCCAGCCAGAGGTTGTGCGCACACGCAAGGTGGGCCATGCGCGTAGGAAGCTGGCGGTTTTGTTTTTGCCTACTCACGCACATGCGGGGATAAGCACCAAGGGGGCATGGGAGCTTTGTTTGCAAGACCTTCGTTTCGTTGCGTAGTCCGTGTCTGGAGTGGGGTTGTCTTGAGGGTGTTTATTTTCCGCGGTTTTTCTCCTCTGACTGGGTTGTTACTCTGTAACCTCGCTCGGAGATGTAGAAAGACGCCCGATGGGTGATCGTTTTCGCGAAGTATCCTGGGGCCCTGTTGCGTGCATACAGCAGTATAACCCGCCTCATCGTATCCCGGAGTCGGCGGTTCATGTTGCTGTATAGGCGCGTGTACCTACTCCGGTAGCTACGTTGTGAGAGGCAGTGCGAGCAAGTGAGGAGTCAATGCAGACCCGTATCGAGGCATGTGCTTTTTTTTGTTGGGGTCTTTTTTGTGTTTGTTTGTGCGTACGAGACATGCGGTACGAGACAAGCGAGGCTTTGTTCGAACACCGCTAATTCATTGTTCGTACATCTACAAAATGTGGGAGGCGTTCGCCTCGAACAAGTCTGCCGCAACCTCTAAATGGCCTCTTTCCGTGCCTGTAGCAGCAACTGCTGGTCTTGAATCCCCGTTGGCGAAGCAACTGACTGTTTGATCAGCCTCCTCGTGGGGCCGTTCTGTTCGGACTTGTTTGTCGCATGCATGTCCCATATCATGCATGCACAACGCAACTTTGTGTTCGAGTCGCCGACCACGGGCATACCAAACTACGCGCTTACACGAGCGACGCACGTGCCATCTAGTCAAGCTCAATCAAACCCAGGGAGACAAGATTGGACAACCTCCGATCCGAGGCAACGCCGTGCACCGCACCCAGCTCTCCACCTGAACCCAAAACACCTTAATTGCCGACCACAAAATTTCAAGTGAGTACCAATTATTATTATCGATCGGAAACCCGAAGGACAACGAAGTTACAGCCAGTCAAACAGAACCCGCATATATACGGAGGGACAGAGAAAGCCTACACCGCCCCTCCTGCCCCCAATCCTACGCACCGACACAAACTCCGTTTTCGGTCGCATTCCATGCAAATGCAACAAACCCCAAACCGAAGACAGGCGAGCAATTTTCGAGGCATAACGTCGAGCGTCGCCAAATCCAACTCGAAGTGCAGTGGGCGCACCAACCGTGTACAATGCCAAAATGTCGCTACGCCGATGTTGAACTTGGCCTCCCCCCAAAAAAACTTGTTTGTTGAATCTTCGGTCTTCCTTCTCACTGGAAGCGTACGCGTCAAAGTTTGACACGCCTAGAGCGGCGGTAGGCCGTTGACGTTCGGGACCATGAACTAATTCATCAATCACAGGTCCGGATCAACGCCAGCCACGGGTGCCACCACGGCCGGCGCCGGGGCGTCGGTATCTTCCATCTTGTCGCCGGCCGCCGCGTCGCCGTTTGTCTTATCGGTAGCCTTACTCCAGTAGCTGTCGAGCCCCCTGTCCAGAGAGGCAACCTTGGGGTCAGGGCCCTTGCCGGCCTTGAACCAGTCTGAAAACATATAACAAAATAAGCGAAACGGTGGGGAGGGGTGTGGAGGAGAGAGACCATGCGCTGACGGGGAGGCGAGTCGGGAGAAATCGGCCTGGCGAGGTTAACCGGTTAGGACCACGCCCACTATAGGCGTTTTTCGATCAAAAATCACCTTTTTGCGACGATCCTAACTGGCGCTTATGTGTATCTTGAGGCATACAACGAGCAGTGGCGATGTGAAGGTTATGGATTTACACACAACGGACACGCCGAGAGCTCTGGTGTCATGCAACACGAAACGATTTTTCCTACAAGGCTTAATATACTGGCACACGAAGAGCAACAACACGCGTCGGCAAGGTGCGGAGGTGGCCAAGTGCTGGGCAATCAGCAGATCCAACTCCTGTGCCGCTCCGTAGCCATGCTTCCAACACCCTCCACGCCTCCAGCCGTCCACACCAGCAAAGAACGCCTTCAAGACTCCAAGACAAGGAACTCCTCGCACCACCCCGCCACTGTTGTTGCCGTAGCAGTGGTGCATTACTCGTAATGACATCAACAAGCGCTCGCTCCCCCTTGGCTAAATCGCCGGCAAGTTTCGCCCGCCATGCCACCACAGTCCCCTCAAACCGTGGCTGACGATTTTACCGCATTCGGAAGACTCGGTTTTCGGAAAGCCAAACGTCCGCAGATGTGAAGAAATGGTCCCACGTTTGTGTAGGTAGAGAGGAAACGACGAGGGTCTACAGAAGATGGCATGGCATGGCATGGTAGAAGCGCTGACACCGACACAGGTTCTTGTCAAGCCCAAAGCGGCCTTCGCTTCGGACCACGATTCTCGAAATCAGACACCCTGTGCCCTGGCAATACCGGCCTAACAACGTCCACCCTCAATGTACTGCAGTGCACACTGCCTGCCCATTTTTGTGACAGCAGTGGTGCACACGTTTCACATCTGGCCGTAGCAAAACGCCGAAAAGGCAATAGTCGTGGTGACACGGCAGCATAGCATACTCTTGGCAGCCTCCCCCACTTATGGCGATCAACAGAGGTAGAGATGTGGGCGTTGCGTGGCGTGAAATCGATGGCCGGGCGGTCGGTCCTCACGCCCGCCTTCTGTCACAAGTGCGGCGCAACAAACCCGAAGCGGCACGACAGGGGACGGACCACTCCGCCGCGAGCCGCGAGCCGCGAGCCATCAACCGGTGCCGCCGCCCGCGAGGATCAACACGCGCCAAGGGGACGGCGCAAGGGACAACCACGAACGCAAGAACCGAGTTCGATCATGCCCCCTGGCCTGGCCTTGCCTGCGCCCGAAAGACGAAGCGTCGTTGCCAAATGAAACAACGACGGCGTAGCATCACGCGACGTCGCCGACATGCCGGTGACGTCCGCAGGCGCCCGTCACCCCTCGGAAAGAAAGGATCAGCAAGAGGACGCGAAGATAGTCGACAGGACTTCCCGCGCTAAGGCGAACGCAGCAGTGCTCTCGTTACCCTTTAGAGTGGGGTCGTCCTTCTTTGATCTCTCGTTTTTCCTTTCTTTCCGCCGATCCACGCGTCGACAGGAAAACGGCTTCGGCGCCAGCAGCGCTGGCAGCTGCACGGCTTCGCTTCCGTTTGCCCCTTCCTCCTCTCTTCGGCAAGAGGATAGGAGGGGAACTAGGAATAGGCTGCTTGCTCACATTCGTCGAGGCCTTCGTCCAAATCCGTTTCCTTCGCCGCCTTCGTTCCCGCCCTGCTGTTGGCGTTCCCGCGGCCACCCCTCCCCGCTCCGCGTCCCCCCCGACCACCACCGCGGCCACTCGTGCGTCCGGCACCCCGCCCGGCAACCCGACCGCTGGATGCTCCTCCTCCTCCTCCGCGCCCTGCTGTCCTCTGATTGTTGTTGTTGTTGCGGACCGGCATTCCCCCGGACCTCTGGTTCTGTAGCAACAAGCATAGGCACAGTGCACACGGCAAAGCATGGTGTACGTTTGTTGGGGAGCGGAAATCCTGAATCAGTAACGGCAACATAGGTTGGCTACTGCGTTCTTACTATGAATCATACCTACCATGAACATCGGCAAGAAAAAGACGCGCAACAAAAACAAAAACAAGTCCTACAACTTGGCGGAGCAGGCTAGTATAGCTTAACCTGCCTCCACTTGCCTGAGTGCTTCTTCCCCGCCCTCTTCCCTGCACGCGCTGGGGTGCCGTCTGCTGCCTTGGGGATACCACCTTGGACTGAGCTGCACGCATGGCGGGCTTGGCGTTCGCTACTCCCTGACGACGTGACTGCGGGTTGGTGGGGGTACGACAAGGAACGAGGTTTTCTTTCTCAAAAGCCGCGTGACGGTGCAGTGGTGCAAACGAAATTACGCAGTATACATGCATCTTTGCAAGAAACAGGAAAACAGCTCCAACAACGAGCAACATGACTAGAACGAAAACATAAGGGTGGTTGGTAAACCAATCTAGTTGCTCTTCATACCTCGGAACTGCTCATTTCTGGAAGAAACAAGAAACGAGGTGACTGGGCTTGTCCCTCTGCCAAACTTGCCCGTCGAGGTATTGACAACAAAACAGAGGGGGGGGCTGGGGCAGACCCGCGCCAAGCACAACGCATGTTTCGTGAAAAAAAGGGAGGGGCGACTTCCACAGGCAAGCATCAATAATTCTTCACGCCGCGCTTACATCGAATTGGACTTGGCGCCCGACCTTGCGGCGTGAGTCCATTTCACCCCGCCGCTGGGAAATCCCATTGTTGAAAACTGGAAGGAAAAAGTACCGCGCGGGCAAAGGGGACGACAGAACGAACGTTACAGATTTTACACGCAGGTGCTCGTGTTTACGGCGGTGTTGGCGTAACAGAGACCCGTAGGTGTTCGAGCGATGGCGTTGTTGCATGGAGGGTATCGCACAGGCATCGCACAGAGGGGACCGTGAAAGTGGCCAAGAACAAATGATCTGATCTGATCGTGCACAGGCACATGAGAGTTACGGCACAGGGGTGCGACAACTCCGTGAAAGGTCACTCCGGGCGAGAGGGTTGCGTGCTTCTACGAGTGTGGAGACGCTTCTCCCAGGTGCAACGATTCTATCGTAATCCTTTGTGTACCGCCATAATTCACGTCGAGGTTCTACTGCTTTACAGAACCATTGCATCGGCAAAGGGTATCCACCCAACCAAGCTCACGAAGGCACACGTGCCGCAAGCATGCTACGACCTACACCTACAGAAGAGGTGCCGTTATTGGTAGGCCGCACGCCAAAAAGGAAACACACGAGGCTCGGAGAGGATGGATGGCTACACAAGTACACCGCACGAGTACGAGTGATGAAGCACATCCACTTTGCCTTTGAACCTCGATTGCTCCGCACCTAAATGAAAGGGTGCCAAAACCGACCGACACTCGCAAGGACAGCTCCACAAGAAATATTTCCAACACTCACAAAACACAAAACACGAGCTATGCTATGAAAGTCGGTCTAATGTAGGGGGTATGCGATGACGATCACGTTTACGGTACACTCCCCACTACAGCAGTACATCCTCGGACAAATGTTGCACACTTTGCACCCTTTCACTTGCCACCACCACTACCTACGCGGAACGACGTGTCTCGGTACGTGTTGACTTATCGCATTGTGATATGTTGGGTGTGATTCGTGGGGGTATGTATGAAACCACATCTTGGAGTCATCACCTCGGCCGGTCCGGTGTATGTATTCATGCAGGTACAGGAGAGAGACGCTATGATACCCTCAGTACGAGCAGCGTCGCTCGATACGGTACAAATCGCATTGTACGTGTAATTCCTCCACAAAGCTGAAATAGACACTCCCATTCCGCAGAGGGATTGGAGCTATGGTGCTGTGAGGACGTGTCGCACAGTGGCGCTACAAAAAACCAACTCCAAATGAGAAAAACAACTACCGACGCACCCCAGCGTACCATCGCTCCAACACTGGCTGGCGGCCAAAGCGCAGCCGTTGTCGTGACGGTACAACTGTTGCAGAAAAAGCTGTTACCGTATGCACCGTATGCATGGATTTCGTTCGTACTGCGGACTGCTGTACTGACTATCCAAACTTCTTTCTCTCAGGATGGGCACGACTTCAGCGTTTCAGGGCACTGGTCATTTTGGGGTGTGAGCTGCTGTGTGTCTTTTGGCATATTGTACATTGCACCGAGGATCGTCTACCGGCCGGCCCACGGGTGAGAAGATACTACTGTAGGAAGAGAACCGGCGGGGGGGTTGGATACTGTAGTGGTCGTGGGGTAAGGAAGGTAAATTACTGGTCGATGATGAATTATGGTTGATCGCACGGGACAGCAGAAGATTGCGGCGTCCAAGCGCCCAAGCGCCCAAGCGCCCAAGCAGCCGGTGGCCAACAAGGCTGCCCTCGCCATAAAGCAAAGCTGCACACATGATATCCTGCCACAACTCGGCATCGGCTCGCGAATGATCATGGGGTGTTGTACATAGAGGCAACAGATGTGCACAGAGATCTACAGGCAGCAGTCGAGACGTGTCGTGCTTGCCGCAAAAAAACCGAAATGTTTGATGTACAGACGGGCTTCCACGAGGGTGCACGGAAGCTACGGATTCCAAGCCAGGCGACAGACAAGATAAAACAAAATGACAACATACCAGGATTGCACAGCGATGCACAACTGACGTGCTCTCGAGTCCACCTCTTCGCCCGACAAGAGAGTTCAACGAGCAAACGAGACTCGGTTGATCTGGTACCACTCATAAAATAACTTTGCTGTGCATCTCGGTAAATTCTTGCCGCATCTAAATTTCCCAAGTTGTTTTTCAATTTTCTTGTACTAGCTTGCTGACACACACACACACACATACCTGGCTTCACAATGACACGGTTGGCCTCCATCTTCTCGAATCTAGCCGAGAGACTCATGGTGATACTTGGTCAAGTCTGGGGAACACAAGGACGGGCAGTATTGTGTGTGAGAGAGAGGGGACACGGATGTGCGCGGGAGGCACAGAGTTCATCTGGAAAAAGGGAGGAGAAAACGGAAATCAGCAAAGAGAACGAAAAAAATAAAGGGCCGTATCCAAGCCGTGCACTCAAGCTCGCTTACCACTATCAGGAGAGAGAGAGAGGGAGAGAGAAGAGAGAAGGAATGAAGCTGCTTAGCCGGTTGCACGTGGATGCGTTGGTGTGTTTGATTGAATTGGAGTGTGCGCGAGAAAAGAAAAACAAATGTCAAAACGCCTCTTTCGTTGAAACCCAGGAGAGCTTCGAGCGCGCGCACACCTCGAGCTCTCTAAAAGCCGGAGAGTGAGCAAGAGGGCCGGAGGGGGGCGACCGGCAATCGCGGGTTAGGCATCAGGAAAGAAAAGACAAGATTGTGATGAATGATCTTGGCAGAAAGAAGCTGAAGACATGGCTTCAGAAGAGCCTTGGCAACCACCCTGAGAATGACAACGGGCTGATCGCGTATGTCGAGGCCATAGTCGGGGATGCGGATGGACCGGTGGGTGTCTGCTTGTTCGCTATGCAATTGGTTTTACCCCTCCTGCCGAACAGAACGTGTGCTGTGCGCTATCGTAATGGTGTTCACTTGAATTGACGCTTGTGTTTATTGCTCAGACACCACGCGGTTTACCTGGGACCTGAGTAAAATGCGTCTCTGTAAGCAAGTGCCTCCGTCTACAAGAAGTACATCTCTTCGTTGCAGCAGCAACGGCGGTGCCAAGAACCACGAGCTTGGTCGAGCACAGCATTGGTGCAAAGCGGTGTGAATTCCTATTAACAACAGTTATTCCACTCACTCACTGCTGTCGCTGGAGACATAAAATATATATACACCCGTCCTCCAACGACCGTACCCGCAGACACAGCAGCACGAACAGAAAAATCAGTCCTTTTGTTTGACAGCATCAGAAGTGGGCCCGGTTCAGCACCCCCTTGAACAGAGGTAGTGTCAGAGGAGGGAGGGATGAACAATACCAGGAAGTCGCTTTTGCCGGTGTAACGGTTATTCGTCGGGGTGCGAAGGTGACATGCCATTTTCTGGTCACTATATAGAACATGTCGCCAATCGGGGGTCGCTAAACCGCCCCCCCCCATTGCTGTATCGTACTAAAGTACCGTAGACTGTACCTGAAAGGACGAACGAGCATTGTGGTACCATTCTGTAAACAGCAGAGAGAGCAGGTACTCAATTGTTTGACGGAAACGGCCCTGCCAGTATATCGTCTTTCCCCCAAATCATAATAATCTAATCGCGCCGACACAAACTGCCCCGACATGTCAGGACGATGATCTGCGAGAGAAATGGACGGAAAAGCTGGATGACTTCCTTGCCGAGAGCAGTGCAGATTTTGCCAAAGTCCTCCTCAAAGGTGTTCGTAACGGCGGGAACTTCGGCACCGTGTGGAAGGGCGCCGGTGGCGGTGGAGGTGGCGGTGGAGGTGCTAGTGCTGGTAGCGGCGTGGATCGTGCCGAGGGAGGCAACGACGCTGGGACTCACGATGATATGAACGACGCCTCGGGGGATGCTCCCGCTTCGAACATCGAACACGAAGATGTCGAAGGTGATGCCCAAGAGGACTATCAAGAGGACAGCTGGGTTGACGACGGGAGGGGTTGGGAAGAGGAGGAAGATGAACAGCACCAGGAAGACGATGAAAACGACGAAGACGATGGCGACGACGATGACGAAGACGGTGGCGGCAGATCGAGGCGCAGCCGACGTCGAGCGAGGGAGGAACCAGAGGAAGAAGAAGCCACGAAGCCGGCTGCTGCTGAGGCGAACAGCAAGGAGAGCGGAGGGAACAAGCGAGCGCGCCTCCAGGGCGGGCGAGGCGGGGATCGTGGGAAGAATCAAAACAGCGGCACCGTCGGGGGTAGAGGAGGTCGGGGAGGGCAGCAGCAAGGCCGGGGTCAGCCGCAGGGCCGAGGAAACATGGCAATGCAGATGCCGGGAGGGGGGCGCGTCCCGCCGCAACAGATGGGAATGGGGTCGCTCGCGATGGGCAACCAGGGGATGATGATTGGACCCATGCCGGGGAGGAGTATGGGACCCGAACAGCATCAGGTATGACACGCAGATATACGTAAATGCGGCGTCGATCTATATACTTCGGGGTATTGAGCAGTCACCAACAATGGAACACCGCACAATTCGTGAAGGATTTTTGGTGGGTCGTTTTACGCGTTCAACGCGAATGGACAACCTTGTTTGTTCGGGGACAAGACTTAGGGTTCCTCTCCTTGATTTATCTGTAGTCATCGTGTGATGGACCAAGCAATTGTAGTTATTCCAGGGAGCGCGTTGTCAAACCTTCTCGGCAAAAGGGGCTCGGCTCGAAGACCACGCGGTTGTCCAGAAAAGCTTGTGTGGCGCGTCATGGTACGGTTCTAGGATGAAGCCCCAACAACAAGTGCGCGAGTACCGAAGTCTGTCTCACGAGGTACTCCTAGAGTGTGGCTCACCCTGCACGCGAAAGGCTAAACATTGCGATATGGCGCTTGGAGAATGCATGCCTGTATCGTCAGCGGAAACCCAGCCGACTCCGTCCAGGCTAAGAAGGGATGCGAGGGTTGACTGACGAAGTGCGACCACGCAACATGACCATGGAGCACCTCACACTTCGTCGTCCCCGGTTGAAATTGGAACGGGGTTATGCGGATGTTCGTGAGCTAGACCACGCCACGGAGTAGTTGCACAGAATTCGATACTTTAGGTGCATAATCGAAACGCAACGCGTCCTCCGTTATTGTTTTCTTTCACGTGCTTCCTCCCTTTCTTTGCCAGGGCGGGATGGGGCCCGGGCCTGGGCCATGGGGAAGGGGAGGAGGCGACATGAACGCGGGGATGCCAAGAGGCATGCCTGGGGGGATGATGATGATGGGGCCACCAATGCAAGGAAGAGGTATGGGGCCTGGGGCTGAGCAATGGGGAGGAGGAGGCATGAACGCCGGTATGCCAAGAGGAATGCCGAGAGGGATGCCCGGAGGAATGCTTCCTACGCCGCCTGCTTCGAACGAATTCTTGGGTCCGAGTGGCGGTGACGGCCGAGGACCTGCGCTGTTGCCAGAACCGCGGCCGCCAATCGTTAGAGCCAACATGGCGGGCGGGCGAGGCCTTCCCAACCTGCCCACCTCAACCGGATTTGTGGCTCCAAATGGTGGCGGGCGGGGGCTTATGCCGCGTCCGCCAATGGGAGGAGGAGCTCACGTGGCGGGTGGGCGGGGTCTCCCCGCGCCGGCGAATTCAAGCGGGCCAATGGCTTCAGGTGGTGGGCCTGGGCCTGGGCCCGGGCCTGGGCCTGGGCCCGGGCCGCGGCCTCAAATGGGGGGAGCGAACATTGGGGGCCGGGGTGGGGGCTCGCTCGGGCCGGGAAGACCGATGGGAGCTAACACAGTAGTCGGCCCTGGCAGTGGTGGTAGAGGTGGAGATGGGAAAGGTATGCCCTTGGGGGGCGGTGTTCCGTCTGGAGGACGGGGAATGGGAGCTCTAGAAGGTGGGAGGCGAGAAATCATCCCAATGGCAGACAGGCCGGCTCAAGGGCCACAGCGAAGTCCCGTCCTTGGCCCCGTCAACGGTCCACGGGCGTTCGGGCCGGTGGCACTTGAAGGGAACGGAGCGGGGATGGCTCGGCCCGGGCCGCAAGATGGGCGACCACTCGGCAGGATAGATGGCCCGCCGCCACGCCTAGAGGCCAGACAAGAGTTCGATATCCGGCCAGTGGTGAACATGCCCCATCGGCCTGACGCTCACGGCACCTCGGAGATGGGGCGTGGCCCCAATTCGCAACCGGCGCCCGATCTCCGCGAACAGTTGAGTGGGCGGCAGAGAACCCCGCCAGACAACCCCAACGCCAACGCAAGCAAGGGGAGAAGCGTTTTCGACCGACTCGGAGCACCGCCATCATCCGCTGGGGGTGAGCAGGTGCAGCACACCAGCGCCCTTCACGGTCCAGACGCCCGGAGACAACAGCAACACCCAGGGGAGGGCGGCGGCATGCGTCATGCCGGTGGCGTCCAGCAGAGACCTGGCATGCAGCAGGGGTCAGGTATGCAGCGGGGATCGGGCGTGGATTCGGGACCTGATGCGCGGCAAGGAGCTGGTGGCATGCGTCGTAGTCCGACGAACAACCAAGTAGGCCTTCAGGAGCGGAGCAGGCAAGACATGCAACGCGGGCCGAATTTTCCGGAAGGCGAGGGCATGCACAACACGCAAGGCCGAAGAGTTGGAGGTCAAGACGCTTGGTCAGGCGTGGGCAGCGGTGGTCGGCCAGGCCCGGGAGCTGTTGACTTGCAGAGACCCGGCATGGAGCAACACGGGGGCGCGGGGCAAAAAAGTCCGCAAGGCATGGGACCCGACCTTAACCGCGCTGGTGGCGGCCGCGGCATGCCCCCTGTGACGAATCGCGAGCACCCTGGAGGAGAGGTAGGGCGTGAAGGCCAGCGAAGTGGTGGCCGGCCGGAGTACCCGCCGGAAGGCCCCGGGCGGCAGATGCCAAGACCGGATGCTAGCAACGCACAACATGGGTGGGCGAGACAACAAGGCCGTGCTGGACTCGACAGCAGTCACGGACAAAGGCAAGGACAGAGACAGGGACAGGCACAGGCACAGGCACAGGGTCACCACCCGCAAGCCTTGGCCCAGAATGCCGGCGCTCGTGTTCCACCTCAGGGGGTGATGGGCAGGCCAGGTGGCGGTCCAATGGTCCAGCCGTCTGGCAACATCCACCGAGGTGAGGAAGGGCGGGGCATGGGATCCGAGTTTTCTCGCGGTGGTGACGGTAATGGCCGTCCGCACCGGTCTTCTGAGCATGATGGCCCCGTTCGTGGGCAGCCTCAGGCGCAGCCTCGGTCTCAGCCTCGGTCTCAGCAGCAGCAGCATCACCACTTCGATGCTTCGTTTCAGCAGCACAACTCGGGTGCTGTTCGAGGTGCTGGCCAGGGGCGGCAAGCGGGTGGCGGAGGAGGAAGAGAAGGAGGAGGGGGAGGAGG